TTTTAGCCTTTACTAGTACTTTAGCACATACTGAGACATATTTACAGCCATGATGGTAAAAAAAAATAATGTTGTGGCTCGCAAGGTGGTTTGATTTTTGTTGAAAGGACAAAATGGCTCTTGTTAACATTTGGGTTGCGACCCCTGGACTACGCTGCATTTGTATGTATATAGTTTATCGTACTGCATCAGAACATCTCCTCCATTACCGTGAAGAAGTGAAAAAGCAACAAACACAATGCAACAGGCTCCATTTTCTCTCACGCTGCAATTGCAAGAGGCGGGACCTTTCTGGTGACGTCACCACGCAGCCTCGTTTAGGACTGTTCCATTTGTGTGACCGATAGGCTACTAAGGAGGAGTCTTCATAGGACAGTCCTACAGAGGACCCGCCCTACCCCGGCTGCAGCCTAGGCTTTCGAACGCAGCTAGTAACTGTATAAACTGCATATTATACAACAGTTACTTCCAACAGCACAACCTGATTCTGATTGGTTAAGAAGTGATATTTGTGATAACAGCACAGTTTTTCATAAGCAACGACTCACTTTATCCTGCAGCTGACCGTTACTGAGTTTCTACTTTAGCACATATAAAAACAGAAAACTCGTATGTTCTATACTTCTATCTATCTTTACTAAGTTAAGGTTTGACCTGCAGCCCACTTGGTCAGATTCTGAAGAAGACTGTGATCGCAGGCCTATATCAAATTCCAAACCTGTCACTGATCCTAAGTGAGCTTTTCAGTCAGCAGCTGTAAACAACTACACAAACTGAAATTAACCAGAAACAAACAGAAACAAAATCCCTATTCAGCTTCATCTGGCAAACACTGAAAAAGCAAAGCTGAACCTGATATTGCGACAGTTTTATGGCTCTATCTATAACACAAAAGGCACTACTGATAACATTAAAGCACATTTGATTTAATGCCTGAGGTTTCTTTGCTTATTTTGCAGAACCGTTAGAACTATTAAAGCAATAGAACCCTCACGGCTGTGATGATCTGCTGTGCTTGCCTTCAGCTTTGTGCCTGCGACCGAATCACAACATTACTTGCAATAACACTCTCCCTCTCGTGTTCTGCAAGCAGCCGATTGGGCGTCCATCCGCTATGACATCATCTTATTTCATTAATTCATTTTTTTCCCTTCTAAAATAGTTTTGAAAAATCTCTCCAAACTTGACACAAATGTACTCACATTTAAACACCCAGAACTTTTTCTTGACATAAACGTGCAAAAAGTCAGTCAGGTGTAAATGAAGTCAAAAGAAACACCAGCAATGTTTACAGTCGTAAAAGTGCAGAGGTTTGAACACCCCTGGTCAAACAACGTTTTGTTGATTTTCTAAGCAATAATAAGTTTACACATCCTCTCCAGTGAACACACTTAAAAATGGCATTTATACCCCTTAAATTTTAGTGCTCATGTATTTATTTGAGTTATCTGACTTTAACACATTGGAAAAAAATAAAGCATGCAATATAAAATGTGCCATAACTTTTGCACAGGCCACACTTCATGTGTTATATATTTTCCAGTATGTTAAATTCAGCAAATTTCTAAATAAATAAATTCAGGATGTGTTAACTTATTATGCATTTACCAGGGGCGCCCAAACTTTTGCATATGACTGTACAAGCAAATATGCTTCTCAGCTTGTGCAGTTCAGTTCACTCACGGGTTCACAGATATTTGCTCGTGTATCAGCACATCGTTCAGCCTCCCACTGCCGCAGGGACCTGCTGATTTGGAGTGAATTACTAATGCACAATGAGCAGAACACTGTCTGAGTTTACACGCAAAGATTTTTGCCGATCTGATTGAATTCATTCCGATTATAGATTAAGACTGAGGTGTTTATTCTCACTCTACTCAACAATCTGATGAAAAATCTCTGTTTACATGCTCACTCCAAGTAATCCGATCCAAAATTCCATGCATGTGTAGAGAACTACAGTGTGGATGTTACCATGACAACCAGCATCACGTGAGTCCAGTCAGAGTGAGATGAGCAGCAGTGAGCAGCGCTTGTGTTTTTAATCACTTTAAAATGATGTCAGACTCAGGAAAACGTCCTTCACATGTCCTTATTAAAGAAGGCCGAGAGGAAGACGTCGTGTTCTGAGACACATAAGCTGGACGTCCGTCCCACCGCCGTCTTTTAAAGATCAGAGCGTAAACTTCGTCTCCTCTGCAGACCAGTTTCTGCTCCGCCATGTTGAACGGTATAAACTTTCACTATGACGCGACGAACATGATCAGAACGGACTTAAACTTTCCGATAGGGAATGTAATCAGATACAGGCGTTTACACGGTTATTATTCTTCTATTTAACAAATTATTTACAGGATTACCCACCTCGATCAGTCAGATAGAAATTGTATTCCAAATGGCCTCAACTGGACTAGTCGATTCCGATTGAGGTGTTTACATGGACGTATTCTATTCCCATTGAGCTATTAGTCGGATCATTAACAGATTATCAGGCTGCACGTAAACATGGCTAATGTTTCTGAACGGGGTACAGTGCATTACTTCATTAGCAAAAACACTGCAGCGGAGTGAGAAATATTAGAATCACTGTTCTCAACTGAGCAGTTATTTATTTATTTAAATAATCACCTTTAATTCTGCGTCTAACCTGGAATAATTGGCTCAGCACTGTAAATACCAGCTGCGCTTCAGATGACATTTTGTTTGTCATATTAAGACCTTTCTGTAAGCAACAGTGTTAAAGGAACTAAAGGGGAGTGCTGCTGGAGTTTTAAACACCTCAGTGTCACTGCTGGACTGAGAATAGTCCACCAACCAAAATATCCAGCCAACAGCGTCCTGTGGGCAGCGTCCTGTGAGCACTGATGAAGGACTAGAGGATGACCAACACAAACTGTGCAGCAGCAGATGAGCTATCGTCTCTGACTTTGGAGTGTCTAATAGAGTGGACAGTGAGTGGACACAGTGTTTAAAAACTCCAGCAGCACTGCTGTGTCTGATCCACTCTGACCAGCGCAACACACACTAACACACCACCACCACGTCAGCGTTACTGCAGTGCTGAGAATGATCCACCACCCAAATAGTACCTGCTCTGTGAGGGTCCATGGGGGTCCTGACCACTGAAGAACAGGGTAAAAGGGGGCTGACAAAGTATGCAGAGAAACAGATGGACTACAGTCTGTAACTGTAGAACTACAAAGTGCACCTATATAGTAAGTGGAGCTGATAAAATGGACAATGAGTGTAGAAACAAGGTCATAATGTTATGCCTGATCGGTGTATAAGCTTTTAAAGTTTCTGGATAATTCAACTGTTAAGATGTAAACAAAGTCATTCAGAGTGGTTTGATACTGAGGTAGGCGATATGGCAAGAATGTAATATCTTGATACAAGACGTTTTCCTAATACACGATATGAAACAATGTTTATTTTTATAACATCTGATAAGTTGGAACAGACACAGTAGTGCCACATTTAACTATTGTGTGGTGTTGATGTGTTTGTTACTCAGTGGTTTTACAATACAGCCATAACAATTTATGTAAAAACACCAGATGTTTAAAATATCACAAGTGTCCAGCGTAGGGTTCTCCTTTAGCAGCTGTAGCCAGTCAGCAGCCTGTCCATGTTGTCCACCCTCACACACACACACACACACACACACACATATATACAAACACACACAGACACACACACACACACACTAACAGTAAGCCATGTAGGAGTTGAACAGAGTGAAGGACACAGCGCCTCCACACTTTTACTCCCCGCGGGTTCACCCAACACCACGTGTGTAATATAAATGTGTGGGGGGTGAACAGAGTGAAGACACTGAAAATGGGTTATTTTATATGTTCTTCACAGAAAATGAGCAAAGACCAAGAATCTGAGGCTGAAATAATAATAAATCACTTAATTTTTTCTTTTGGTAAACACTGAAAATGGGCCCCACAGACCCAACACTATGAATCCAATGGTTTACATCCAACACTTCACACACAGTGCTGCATCTAATCCAATTAAACAGGACTAAATATGCTCGATTTTAAAATCAAATAAGCAGATGGGCAGCGTTTCTTAAGTTGTGACGATATTCACGATACGCTCAGAAAAGCCCATTGTGACACGTCTTGACATAATTTATCACAACAATGATAAATATTGTCATATTGCCCAGCTCTAGTATGATGTGAAATGCTTGAATTGTTCACAGTGGCGGTGATGGGAACCAGACGTCTGAAGAGTTTAATGCCTCTAAAAGCTCCTTCACAGAAAGTGATTACATGCAATGGTTAGGAACTCACTGCCGGATGGAAAAAACGTATTTTATGAAACTCATTCATGGTGTAGAGGTACAGGCAGGGCGTTGTGAGGCAAAACAGTCCCTAAAGAAACATATTCAGATTTATCACCATTTTATCATCAACATCCCATATAAAACTCAGACTCGTGTAAGTTCACTGGTGGTTTTGGATAGTAAATAAAATGTCTATATTTGTGTTGTAGTCATGGCAACCCCTGGTTCCTATCACCACCACTGTAAGGAGACCTGAACCATTTCAGACCAAACCACTCTGAATCTCTCTGTTTACATCTCATGATTGAATAAGGCAAAAATTTTGAATGTCCCTTTAAAAACAATAAATATGAACTTTGCACACAGTCTGTCTTATTATTATTATTATTATTATTATTAAAATATAAAATCATGTATTTTTTTTTTATTTTATTTTATTATTCCAACTGTTTTATTTGATGTTAATTCTTTTACTGTTCTATTCTAGTAAATTATATGATTTTTCTAAAATTGTAATTTTTTTATTGCTTACTATCTTTTTGAAGTTCTTTTACTTAATTTTTTTCATTATATATTTTACAGATATTTCATGCCTGTTTTTGATTTTAGCTGTTTTGTATACATATATACATATACATATACATATATACAATTACAGGACAAATCTGGGATACAATGCAGTCTGAGCAATAATACATACTAAGCTGTTTGTAGGAAGTCAAAGCTGAAGCTTTTTCTCAGTTTGATCCAGAGAAACAGCTGTGTAGGTCCATCAGCAGCTAAGACGACAAAGAAAAGACCAGATAACCCCAAATTGCAGCATTTAAGCTTAATAATTCACTGTTTTTCACAGCACTGTGTCTGCTCACATAACACAATGAAACCAGCCCTGCTAACTTAATAACTCCTGCAGTCAGACTCCTCTGAAGGTGAATGTGTTTACCTCACTTCAGTGCAGCATCATACAGTAACAGCAATAACAGCAGCATCAAAGACATCACCAACATACAAGAGAGACAGACGCTAAAAACATGCATATTAAAGGGAAATTCCACTAATTTCTCAAAATTTCTGCATCCAATTCAATCACTGTGAGCAAAGTCATTCAGAGTGGTATGAAATAAAGTAGTTAACTGTAGAGAAGCTGACTGACTCAGATTTTTTACAGTGGTGCTAAAAGGAAGCTGGGGTCATGCAAATATAGCCATTTCTTATACTATCCAAAAACACCAGCAAACCTCAATACATTTTTAATATGTACTTTTTATATACAATGTTGATGGTAACTGGTACATTTTCTTTGGGGACTATTTTGCCTCACAACACCCTGCATGACTAGTAGATTATAAAATACATTTTAGGCCAAAACTTCTCAAAACTATCGTAATACAATGTCTCAGACGTCAGGCATCGAACTCATAACCATTTTGTGTAGTATCTTTCTGTGAGGGAGCTTTTAGAGGTGGACGTCTGGTTCCTATCACCACCACTGTGAACAGTTCTGACTCTGTAAGTTTCTCTAGAACAGAGCATTTCACATCAAACCACTCTGAATGACTCTGATTACTTCTTAACCACTGAATTATACAGGAATTTTGAAAATTTATTGGAATTCCCCTTTAAAAGCAGCAAATATGAACTTGCAGAGTGTGTCATGGTAAAAATTGACCAATTTTAAGAACAATTAGGCTGATCAACAATAGATACACTTAGAAATAAAGGTTCTGTTCAGGTACATTTCTCATTCATCAACGTACAAACAATGTAAATGTTCCCTCAAAGGTTCAACAGTGGTTTTAAGGTCTGACTGTGAACCTTAAATAAGTTTTTCCAGGTGAAAAGTTCGTATTTGTACCTTTTCATAACCGAATGTTTTAAAACAGAACAGTAAAATAAAAGCCTGGAGACGAGACGGGGTGTGTGGAGTCAGTACAGCTTAGAAAATATCATTTCAGTGGATTATAGTACAGTTATGTTCCCTGACTAAAGGTACTGCGAGGTACCTTTGAGGGTACCACCGCAGTGACAAGAGGGGAACTGCCCCAGTGACAGTTTACTACCTTTACTTCTGAGAGTGTAAGAAAATGCTATGAGAGGTTTAAAACTGTCCCAGAAAGAAACAGCATTGTAAATCCAACAGTATCTTACGGATTTCATTTAGCAGAAATTCTGAAAAATGGGTGGAATTCCCCTTTAAACACATACATGCACTACGTAGGCAGGTCCGAACTTCTAACAGACTGAAAAAAAAACGATGGATTCAGTTTACTTGATTCAAATGTGTATCATTTCCACATGCATACAATATATTACACAAACACAGTTACTGTCTATCACTTTGTTTACTTTTGGCGCGTGGAAACGATCAATTAAATTCAATGCATCACTTTTTTCAGTGCATAACGCGACTGCTATTCCCTTCCAAAGGTCTGAGGGAGTCCGGCTACTTCTGACTGTTTGGCAGACATGACACAGCACTCTGGAGGGCTGACAGTAAAGTCGAGAGTGAGCTGCGAGCTCGTGAACGCACTTTTTTGCTGAGTTGCGCGAGGAGAGCCGAATCTTTTACGTCACGCGTCCAGCCTGGTAGACTATCACTGGCTTTTCTGTTTGTTTTATCACCGCGGCGCGTGCAGTTACTGCAGTTTCCAGCGTGCAGGCGTAAAAACCAGAACTCGAGGCTGAAAATCACGCGCAAACGGTCTCAGCCTCTGAGGGTGAAAGACGGAGAAATCTTGCGAAAAAACAAATCTTACCGCCAATAAGTGAGAATGAAGGAGCTGCTCAACACCAGAGATGTGAAAGTTCACTCAGACCAGCTGAGCTGCTGCGGCTGTTCCTCCAGTAAAGCGCAGCTACAGACAGACAGCAGCGCTGCTGAGCTTCTCTTAAAGAACCTCCACCCTCCACCCCCACTGCAGCTCAGCCAATCACAGCCCGAGCCTCAGTTTTCGGTTTAATTTGCATATCCGTTTCACATGTCAGTATATTTGGTGCAAAATTGTTATAGCAAACAATACAAAGCTAATAGCAGTAATAATGCAATATATAGCAACTAAATAATAATAATAATAATAATAATAATATGTTACATAACAATTGCCTAATAAGTAATAAATATAATATATAAAAATTAATAAATGACATTATTTCAAAAATAAGTTCACCACCCAAATAGTACCTGCTCTGTGAGGGTCCATGGGGGTCCTGACCACTAAAGAACAGGGTAAAAGGGGGCTAACAAAGTATCAGAGAAACAGATGGACTACAGTCTGTAACTGTAGAACTACAAAGTGCACCTATATAGTAAGTGGAGCTGATAAAATGGACAATGAGCGTAGAAACAAGGAGGTGGTCATAATGCTATGCCCGATTGGTGTATTATGTAATTTTCCTAAAATCTGATTGGCTGAGCTGCGTTTGAAGCCTCCATACGGGCACACCTATGAACCCCTCATAGAAATTGAACTCTGTATTACTGACCCAAATCACAAAAAATCCTTGAGCTGTTGATGGAATAATCATTGACAGTAATGCTGCACGCATGAACCACCAAATGTACTAATAAGAGGAAGAACCAGGCCTCAGTTTAAACTGAGGGGCTGACAACTTATTTGTTAACTAGAACTATGCTGGTCAGCTAGCAAACAGGCTAAAAGATAGCAACCAGGCCAAATAACCCCTCCATTAATGTCACAGGATTTGAATTAAAGTACATATGATATGATTCAGCTTAAAACTGCAAAATAGAAGTCTGAAGAATGTGCCACATGGATGTCCTTACATGCTTCAGATGTCCATGTTTAGGTCAGATCTGTGTTCTGAGACTGATTTCAAATTATCTAAAGGTGCTCTACAGGAAACTAGTGGTCTCTAATGGTAACAATTAAGTCAATTCCCATTAGCAAGAAAAAACATCAGATTTTAACTCTGATGGTTCTAATGGTCTTTTTTTCAGCAGTGTTATGGATTGTTTGGGTGCAGGGGCCAAATTCAGGCCCTGTGACTGGCAGAATGGATTATCAGTTCATTAAATTACTTACACCTTCTTCATTTTTCTGCTTGATAGTTTTCAATATTACAACAAAGCTTTGCCATCTTTGCTATGAAGAAGCAAAGCATATGCATAGAAATGAGAGCAGTAGTAGCCATGGAAAGCATAACCGTGGTGATGGGTGTGGTGTAATGATGGAATGAATGTAGGGTAACCATGGAAATGGGTGTGATAATCATGGAAATGGTTCATGGATAACCATGGGTGTAGGGTAACCATGGAAATGGGTGTAGGGTAACCATGGAAAAGGGTCTAGTATAACCATGGAAATGAGTGTAATGGGTGTAGTGTAACCATGGAAATAGGTGTAGTGTAACCATGGAAATGGGTGTAGTGTGACCATGGAAATAGGTGTAATGGGTGTAGTGTAACCATGGAAATGGGTGTAATGGGTGTAGTGTAACCATGGAAATGTGTGTAATAGGTGAAGTGTAACCATGGAACTGGGTGTAGTGTAACCATGGAAATGTGTAAGGGGTTTAGTGTAACCATGGAAATGGCTAAGGTGTAACCATGGAAATGGGTGTAGTGTAACCATGGAAATGGGTGTAATGGGTGTAGTGTAACCATGGAAATGACTATAATGTAACCATGGAATTGGGTGTAGTGTAACCATGGAAATGTGTAATGGGTTTAGTGTAACCATGGAAATGGCTATAATGTAACCATGGAATTGGGTGTAGTGTAATCATGGAAATAGGTGTAACGTAACCATGGAAATGGGTGTAGTGTAACCATGGAAATGGGTGTAGTGTAACCATGGAAATGGGTGTAACGGGTGTAGTGTAACCATGGAAATGACTATAATGTAACCATGGAATTGGGTGTAGTGTAATCATGGAAATAGGTGTAACGTAACCATGGAAATGGGTGTAGTGTAACCATGGAAATGGGTGCAGTGTAACTATGGAAATGGGTGTAATGTAACCATGGAATTGGGTGTAATGGGTGTAGTGTAGCTATGGAAATGGGTGTAATGTAACCACTGAAAAGAGTGTTGTGGAAGTATGGAAATGGGTACAGCGTAACCATTGACATCGGTGTGGTGTTACTGTGGAAATGTGTGTAGTGTAATTATGGAAATTGATGTAATGTAACTATGAAAATGAGTTTAGCCTAAGTTCGGTAATGGCTGCAACATAACCACAAAAGTGGGTGTGGTATATCCATGGAAATGCATGCAGCCTGTTGATTCATGGATCAGTGGTAAATTCTACTTCAGAAGGATATTTATCAGTTAACCTGTATTATAACTTATCTAAAAATCTAATAGATTTCTCTGGGTGCTCACAACTAGCAAAACTAGCACAACTGATCTTTTCTGACCTGGAAGTTTGCTGAATCTTGACACTTGCCTCCTTTTTCAAGATCATTTTCAGCACATCAAAGGAAAAACTGTGGATTTTGTGCTCCAGTAAATGAACAGGGCCCATATGAAAGTCTCTACTTTGCTAATAGATATTATGTTTAGTGCAACAATGTCTTACGCTCTCACCTTCTGATTCGAACACTCTCAGTCCACCAGTGTCCCTTTGACTCCACCAAGACAGACTCCACCTAACCTCCGCAGCCCAAACACAGAGCCCCAGGCAAGGGCAGGTGGCCATTCGGCCATCTGTGCCACCTGCTGCTACTTCCTCCACATTCTGCCAGTCTTCAGCTGTGCCAGTCATGGACGCCACCCTCTCCACGGGGGCAGAGCGTACGACTGATCCATCTCCAGCCGCACGGTCACACACAAACACACGTGTCCGTAATTAGAGTTACATAACTGTCTGCTGGGGAGCGGCGTTACAGCAGGGCATGGAAATGCATCGATGTGTGGAAATAATAGTTTATTAAAGTCTCTTAAAAAGCTACTTTCAAATGTAAAATTAAATTAAAAAACTTGCTGTATTGTTTTGATTGTCTATATTTATCTACAGTGTAAACAGCTTCATCAGTCATATCTGTATATTTTAAAAATGATTCTGAACCAGGCCAAAATAATCACAATCTAATGGGCTTGTGGTAAAATTTTAATTTCATGGTGCACTGAATCGCTAACAGAGCACATATCTTAACAATGGCAGTAATGTTTGTTTAAAAAGTGAGATTTCAGACTTATATATTAATAAATAGCAAGTCTTATTAACAAAATTATTTTGGATAGCAGTGAAAATAAAAAAATATTTCAAAATGGTCAAAAAAAAGGCAAAATTGATCCCCCTTGTAGCACCCAAACATTATATTACACTACATTACCTTATATTAACCCTTGTGTGGTGTTCATGTCAGTGGGACTCATTTTCAATGTTTACCAAAATAAAAATGATGCGATCCTTGGTCTTTTCAGTGCCTTCACTCTGTTCACCCCCCACACATTTAAATTACACAGGTGGTGTTGGGCTAAAAGTGTGGAGGACGCCTTACTAAGTCGTAACCACACGTTAGGATCTCATTCCCACACCTTACTAAGTCGTGGCCACACGTTAGGATCTCGTTCCCACACCTTACCAAGTCATGGCCACACATTAGGATCTCGTTTCCACACCTTACTAAGTCGTGGCCACACATTAGGATCTCGTTCCCACACTTTACTAAGTCGTGGCCATGCATTAGGATTTCGTTCCCATGCCTTACTAAGTCGTGGCCACACATTAGGATCTCATTCCCATGCCTTACTAAGCCGTGGCCACACATTAGGATCTCGTTCCCACACTTTACTAAGTCGTGGCCATGCATTAGGATCTCGTTCCCATGCCTTACTAAGCCGTGGCCACACATGAGGATCTCGTTCCCACACCTTACTAAGTCGTGGCCACACATTAGGATCTAATTCCCATAGCTTACTAGGTCGTGGCCACACATGAGGATCTCGTTCCCACACCTTACTAAGTTGTGGCCACACATTAGGATCTCGTTCCCATGCCTTACTAAGTTGTGGCCACACTTTCGGATCTCGTTCCCACACCTTACTAAGTCGTGGCCACACATTAGGATCTCATTGCCACGCCTTTGAAACTAAAACACACGTTTCGTGTGTTTCGTTTTACTTCCGCGAGCGTCTGGTTCGTCTGCCGAGTGCGACAGAGATCAGTGTTAACCAGGTCATTATCATTATATAAAGCTGATTCACACAATCTAACGAGAGTGTAAAAAATAAACCGTAGATTCTTCCTGAGCTGATGTGATGATGGGTTTCAAGGCAATTTATTGCGCACATTCGTTTCTGCTTTTTTCCACACGCATGAAACAGGTGACAATAACAAACAGTGATGACAGCCAGAGAGCTGGAGAGGATTTGTCAGCAGAGGAGCCGGTATTAATAGATACTGAGTCACTCTTACCTGCTGAGATTGTTCAAAATCTGTCCAGTGGATGATTCAGGGTGCAACTTAGATTTGAGTTAGACCTCCATCCACCTTCTGTAATGGACAAGCCATGATTAATCATATGGTCTGTCGTTACCCTTCTGTTTGGGTCCATCTGTCACAGTCTATCCCTCTGCTGACCAATGCTCAGGCCTGGAGATCGCCATCGTCTTTTTGTGATGTCCTCCACCACTCGCCATACATATGGAAAAAAGAAACAAGCAGAGAAACTGTCTGTTTCTGAATGTTTTGGGGGAAATGTTATTATTGTTTGCTTGTGTGCAGTTCAGTGTAGTCCTGGTAGTACAGCACAAACATGCAGCACCGACGAAGGCTAAACAGGTTCAAACTGAAACCTCTGTTTGTGTATTTTTGTTGTTTAGTGAGTGATTGAAGGGCTTTACTCTCCTGACTGTAAGCAGTTTCTGGTAGAGCAATTTGCTTTTGTG